GGTGAGATGGTTCAGTGGTCTAAAGCACCTACTTAGAACAAACTTAGCAAAGCACAGGGACTGTGGTTCGATCCCCCAGCACCACATGCCAGCCAGCCCCGCCCCCTGCTGGGCTGAGCTGGCCACACACACACACACACACAAATAAATAAATAAATTAAAAAAAAAAAAAGAAACTGGATTGTTATGAGCACAAGTCACACATTTACTGGCCACTGAGGCACACAGAGTCCAAAGCTTGGAAAAAACTGGCCAAGCAGTTCCGCCATAGCTGTCTTGCCCAGATGGGTCTTGTCATGTAGCTCCTGAATCACAAAATGTCCCATGTGTTCAGGTAGAAATACTCTTTCTCCTGGCAGGATTTGCCATCCATTTCTTTCTGATGCCCCTTCTGACTTCGCACATGTTACCTCAGTCTCAGAGTACTTAGGTGACTGAAGGAGTGGTGCTACCATAACATGTGTTTCTGGTAGCAAATCTTCCGCAGCCGCTTACTGTGCTGCCAAATCAGCAGCCCTGTTACCTTGGGCTTCAATGTAACTCATTTTGTGATGTCCAGAGCAGTGTATTACTGCCATCTCAGCGGGCCACCACACTCCCTGTAACAAGTTTAAGATCTCTTGTGAATTTTTAATGTCTTTTCCTCTTGAGGTTAGGAGACATCTTTCCTGGAAGATGGCATCATATATGTGTAAAGTGGCAATTGCATACCGGGAGTCCATAAAAACATTTAGCCTCTTGTCTTTCCCTAGTTCCAAAGCCCAGGTAAGTGCAATTAGTTGGGCCTTTTGATCCAAAGTCCCAGGAGGCAATGCTGCTGACTGACCAAACTGTTCCACAGTCACAACTGCTGCTCCCACCCTCCATACCCTGTCTATTACCATACTGCTCCCATCCAAGAACGGAATGAAATTCAGGTTTTGAAGAGATATGTCCTGCAGGTCAGGTCTTGCAGAATAAACAGCCTTGATGGTCTCTATGAAATCGTGTTTTAGGGGCTGGAGAGATGGCTCAGTGGTCTAAAGCACCTACTTAGAACAAAGCTTAGCAAAGCACAGGGACCGCGGTTCGATCCCCCAACACCACATGCCGGCCAGCCGCGCCCCCTGGTGGGCTGAGCTGGCCACACACACACACACACACACACACTAAATAAATGTTAAAAAATTAAAAAAAAGAAATCGTGTTTTGGGGGCTCCAATGATGTTGCCAGAAGAGAAGCAGGGTGAATGGCCTGTACAGCCTTAAAAGGTA